CCTGCGTGAGGAGTTGAGCTCCACTGAAACTACCCCGCCCCCGCAACTCGAAGACCATGCCGTAGGATCCTACCCTCACTCGCACTTTGGCACCCGCTCCCTCAAGCGCTACTCGGCCAACAGCTCCGCTTACAGCCAATCCTACCAGTCTACCGTCTTTTCCGACAATGGTAATGGCCACCACTATCGCCAGTGGAGCAACGTGTCTGACCGCCCCACTACGTCAGGCACCTCGGTTGCCGGCTCCTACCATGACGATGCCAATGACCATGCTGACCTCGCTGCCGCCGTCGGCCTGCTGAGCTGCTCGTACGGCACCCCCAAGACGGGACCCGTTGCGCTCCCGCCGGACGTGCCACCCGTGCCCCCGCTACCAGCAAAGTATTTTGACCTGAATGCCCGTACCCTGTCAGGTAGCACCACCGTCACCGCGCAGCAGTCGAGTATGCGCAACAGCTACCGCTACCACAGCGAGAGCAAGGACGTCGACATGGACGACGACCACTTCGCCGACGAAGAGGACTACCGTTACTCCAACTCGCGCAGCCGCGGCCGCATCGACGAGGACGACGACGAGATCTTCGGACGGATGGAGGAGTAGGAGCCTTCTGCGCTTGACACGCCCTTACGACGTCCCGACATCTCTTGCCATGTTTCTTTCCATCGCCTCCATTTCCCACCGTACTTCCGGCCCTGTACCACAAACCAAATACCAGCCATTTAGCAATCTATCTCCGCGAAGGAAAAAGACGCAGCCTGCACACCGAGGAGAGGGCCGTCACAACCCCGACGACGCCCTTGAGGTTAAAGTACAGGTCAATCATCCGAACCTGCCGTCTTTTGCTCACCTTTGCGTCGAGAGCCTAGTACCTGCAACAAATATCCCGGAGTTTTTTCCCTTTTCCTTGTCTTTTTTTCTTGATCAATCTTCATCTCTTCACCAAGAAGCTTCAGCCTATTTTGACATAAACCCATATAACTTTACAAATACTTTCAATGACGACGGGAGGACCATGATGGCCACGCTGGATAGCGTGGCCTGGATGGAAGGAGAGGAGAGGCGAGGGGTCTTTCCAATGTGTGTATGGTCCAGCCATCTTCTTGTACATTCGGCTGTGGAGGAAACCTTTTTTTCGAAACGAACCTTGAGGACGAGAGGAATCAAGATTGAAATGCCAAATAAAACATCTCAGTCGAAAGGGAAGAGTGCCCAACGTGCGAGTGTATTTGCTTTGAGTGAGGAAATCGAAGTGCTCCCGACCGAGCAGGACCCCGTTCGTATAAGAAAGCCCAAAGCTGACGAGAGACGAAGAAATTGACAACACAGAGACGGGAAAGAGAGGCGGGGGCAACCGGTCCTTTTTACACCCCAACCCAACCCAACGTTGGGTCGCCGAGATAAAGCGTGCTGAGACGGAGCTGCGAGCTGACTGGAAAAGCGGCCAAGACCGTTGAGGTTGGGGGGGAAATCGTGCTTTACCTTCCTCAGTTGATAGCTTAGTTTGGCACACCATAATCCGGGGCGCCGGGTGAGCGTTAGTACCCAAACACTGGGCTAGCTTCGTTGTTGCTGGAGATCCGACTGGATGGCTGGATGGGATGGTTGCTTCCGTGCTGAGAGGTAAGTAAGAGGGAGAGGCGTTAAGGTTCGTGGTGATGGTTGTTTGTTACGTGGACGGGATATCATCGTGATGTTTGTATGTTGGCTGTTGATAGGCGAATGGTTGAATGGCTGGGTTGAGTGGACGGGTAGGATACCCCGCTATGCTATGCTATGCCATGCCATGCTACCCCACGGGATAACAACAACATCACGTCAAGAGCTGATCGTGATCGTGACACCTTGGCAAAAGCCAAATAGAAATCAAGATGACAGCATACTGATACCGTTCCTCGGACCTCACTCACTTATGTACTCTTACTTGAAAATTAGCTGACGTACACCTCCAACAATCCACCTCCCCTTCCGTCCCCCGTCCCGCAACACACTTCTAATCAGGTGTGGATCGACGACGATCCCCAATCCTACGTTGTAAGCGAGACCCATCAGCGTTGGATATGCTGAGTGAGGCGGGTCGACAGCATCACCAACTTCCTGTCTGGGGAACGTGTGCGTGTTTCAAGTTGCGTGGTTGTGGAGATGAGGATCTTCGATCTATGATGGGGCGCGTGAGGACTTTGTTGGTTGGTGGGGGGATTAAGGCTGGGAAGTGGGGTATCGTGTATCGTGATGAGGGAAGGATGCGAGGACGCGTGGTTTGTTGTGGGTTTGGTGCGGTGGGTGGTGTGGGTGGAGGGGTGGGTTTGGTATCGTGATGTTTGTTTGGTGTGTGAGGTGCGAAGTCCACGGGTTGGTTTGGGAAGGTATGACGACAGATGATCTGCAGCTCTAAGAGGACATGCAATAGAGGCACGTCAATCGAGAAAAAAAACTGAACAGGCCTGCAGCCTACATCAACATGTAAACCTACTAGTCAGATAACCTAGCGTCGATGTAGGCTCTAGGCCTGTTTAGTTTTTTTCTTGTATGAGGTGGAGGGACACTGTACAACAGAGCAGGTTAGTTATAGGAAGTACATAACTGCCTCTAATACATGCAATACGTTTTGGATAATCTTCAGAATGAGACCCCTCTTCATCCCTCTGAACCTGACTCTGGCAAGGGTATATCCGATGATACAGAACCAACATCTCCTAAATCGGGCTTTCTCCCGCTGGCCTTGCTTGGAGTTCCAGTCGGAGGTGCCGGGTGCCTTCTGCTTCTTTACGCGAGAGTCTATACATTCACATTATTTAGCCAAGTTCAACAGCGTAACGCCACAGCAATAACTGCTATAAGCAACATTTCACGATACCCAGTGGGTAACTTGACATGGAAAGAGGAGAGCAAGGGTTGTATACGTACTGCGAGGCATGATGCTGCTATGCGTACACGAATGTCAGCATGAGTACTTCCATGTACGATAGTCCGCCTGCCGGTCGTTGTTGTCGAATGCCATCCTGTCTTGGTGTATCGCGTTTGTTTATCGATGAGAACGAGGATCGGAAATATCGAAGCTGCAATAGGTTAACATTGAACTTCTTCAAGGAACAACGAGCAGTTGTTGTATATCAGAGCAAGGCTGTAGGGACTGAAACACCTGACGCGCATGAAGCAGCATGAGAGGCAGGAAGAGGCCATCCCAGAGCACTAGCAGAGCTAAAGCGTAGGTGTTCATTGCCCAAGTGTGTGCGTGTAGGTATGTGTGGGGTTTCTCGAGGGGAGAGAAGACGTACTGCGGGTGATAGGTGATGGATATCGTCCAGTCGGGATTCGAAACTAATGATATAGTTAGCAGTGTCTGCACAGTCAAAGGTATGTAAGTATCGGACGATGGACGAGTCGAACTATAGGAAGGAGAAGACTATGCTCGATCGACCAAGGCTGAGGGGCAGGAAGACACCTTACCACGCACAGCTTTAGATGAACAGACGCAGGAGAACAGGCTGGGTATATAGTCGAGGGATGGTTGTGTGAAGAGTTGGAGTGTCACTCAGCTTTGCGGTCGCCATGCGACATCGTGCAGTGTCGCTCCACGTCCATATCATGCAAAGACCTGCGCCTGGCGATTCTCTGGCCATCTCGAAGTTCTTCCTAGTCTCTTTTGGATCGCTTGAATCTGCGCAGTCGTGGGTTCGTCGAGCGAGGATCATGGTAGACACGATGGCATTCTTGCGGCAGTCGTGGGGGCAAAGAGCTTCACTTACAAGGTATGCTGTACGTAGCTTACCAGAAGATGCAGACGTCAACTGGAAAATTCGTTATACCTCACCTCACGCTAGGACGGCCATGTGGCACGATAATTCGTGAGGAAGGTGGTGGAGTTTGAGATGGGAAGGCGCGGCCGTCTACATGACCCAGCACAACTACAATACCGCTACACTACCAGATCAAACTGCTACTTCTTGCAGTGACATGATCCTCCATCAAGCTCAAAACCCTCTTCGTTATCAAAACCACTTCTTCAAAAGCCATAAGCGTGCTCTCAGGAACCTACCTGCCTAAGTCTCAGCGCGTCGCGCGCTGCGACTCCAAGACCTATTCTACGCTGGATAGGCCTTCTTTCTACTACGCTGAACAGTCGGGGGATATAGGTTTGTCGCCTACATCAATGTAAAAACATGCGAAGTGGGTGATCCAACGTCAACGTAGGCTCCAGATGTGACAGGGAAAGACTGTACGTAGCGTCGCAGACAAGTCTCGCTAGACCGAGGCCATTAAGATACCCATAAATACACGATCTTGCATTGAATATGGTGGGTACTTGTGAGATCTTCAGGTTTGGTGGGTCACTGAGCATCGTGCCTTCCGGATTTGAAGCATCCATACAAGTCAAGCCGCGTTGTGAGAGACTGAGGCATATCAAAGGTTGAATGAAGCAAATGGTAATGAGAAGCAGCAGATGGCTGGCAATTAGAAAGATATAAGTGCCTGGGAATACTCAAATATCAACAGATCTTTTGATGCTCAATACGAAGTGAGGTAGCTGAATTGCCCATCTCAACTCTGGCTGGCTTCTGAGTTTGTCTGAGCTTGTGCTGTACCACGCATCGCTGTGTAACCTTCTGGAAATAAACTGGGGCCCGTGCTAAGGGGTTCATTGCAGCATATCATCCAAATATCTGGTAGACGTGTTCCTGCAGGATGCGCATGCATGTTGAGTACCCAGTGACGAGCAGCGGACGCTGTGCGATTTCATCTTAGACATGTGAAATCCGTCTCTGATGGAGTCATATTCGATCCGGGGTCTGATTGAGATACATGCAAACATAGAACCTAAGACAATGGCTTTGTTGTTGTGGGGATGGAAATAGATGTGGCTTCGGGCATGGCGTCACTCACGACCCTGCAGATCCGCACGGTTGCATGTTGCGGCTCTCCGGCGCTCGCAACACTGCGACCCAACACATGCTAGACAACTCGATGCCCTCCGACGAGCGCTGACCCACCCTTTGCTCCAATGCACCCGGCCGTCTCCATACTTGCCGATAATGTCGTCAAATACCACCATCTGCTCGCCCCGCTGCTCTACAGCGTCCTCGCGGCTGTCGCAAACGTGCACACACCGGTCCAGCATTCGCTGCTCATAACGACGATATCCTGGCTGATAGTATGGGTGCCGACTGTCTTTTGGGTGGGCATATATTCAAACAGCGACAGCGCCAAGAGGAAGACAAGCTGGCTGGCTGGCGCGCTGCTGGGTCTGTCTGTAATATGCGACCGCGCGGCATGCGATAAGCAGGGCATTTGGGCGACCAAGGTACTTTCAGACGGGATAAAGGGACAACATGCGACCGTCTAACAGCACTTCAGGCCCTAATTCCCTTCTTCACCGTCCTGTTCTCCGAGAACCAATTGGTCGCAAAACACCTTGCCCTACCCACCTGGACTGTTCTCGATGGCCCTGCAGCCGAGACCAAGACCCCCCCGGAGCGACAGCCTCATACCGAATCATACGGGATACTGGCAGTTCTCGTCGTCTCTGCGAGCGCTGTTCTAGGCGTCTACGCAGTTCCTACCACGGTCGCGCTCGGTGTCAGCAGTGCCATCTTCGCTGCTACTGGTCTTGTCCTGTTCGAGACCACCATACAAGCCGCGACAGAAGAGGGCGAGGGTGGCAAGCGAGGACTTGGGTCTGCGAACGGGAGTACGTTGCGGCGCGCCTCAGTGAGCGGTGCCTCGAGGCCGCAACGATTAGCTGCGCTCAGAGATGTCGCTGTGGCCGTTGCAGTTGTGTGCGGAATTGCGTCTATCCTTACCGAGTCGTCCTTGACTGCAAGCACGATATCTTGGGAGCCCGTATACAGAGAGTACAACCGAGAGTGGAGGGATGTACACAATTTCCGCATCCTGCAGCGCTTCTTGTGGATGTTGCCGGTTCACACCACTGTAAATGTTCTTGTTTTCGTTCTGGTACGTACTTTCTTCCATATTACTGTTGAACTACCTAATTACGCTGTCCTGTTACCAAACGCGGGTCTGGCGTCCTGCCGCGTCGTACCCGTCGCCATGGCTTTCACCCCAGCTTTTACTTTCCGGTTCCAAGACCAGAGACGTAGCTTTCACTCTCAACGTACTGTCACAATATCAAACTAACTAGCCGATAGATCTCTCAATATGGCGCTGTAAATACCTCTCTGTTGGCCATATTCTCTCACCTTGCTGCGAAACTACACTTCGCCCCGACCTTTTCCGCCGTTTTGTTTACCCTCATTTACGACGGGGCGGCACTTGTACACTTTTTTGAGTCATCCGGATCTCCCATTGTCATGGATTCGCGGCGCTCTAAGCGACTGCGTCGCTTTATCTTCATCGTTATGGCTCTTGCAGTGGGGTCTCTACTTTTCGGACGTTTCACTGGACCACCAACGTATCAGCACATCACGCATGGTGTTCTTACCGACATATCACTTTCCCCGCCTGGGATGCCACTTGCTCCGGTGTCGGTAGATCTGACCAAGGGTCATCCGGCTGCGCAATTGATTGACGCTGCAGAGGCAGACTTCCAAGGCACCCTTAACCGACAATCCAAGTCGCTCGCTGATGCGGTTCGAGAGTACCGACGCAGGAACGGGATCTCGCCACCTCCGCACTTCGACAAATGGTACGAGTTTGCGACGCGCAACGGTGTTGTGATGATAGACGAATACGACACGATCAATGAGATGCTGCTACCGTTTTGGGCGCTCAAACCATCGACGATTCGGTCGCGCATTGCGAATGCGTTAGGTCATGAAGATAGCTCCATGCTTGCAATTGCGATACGCCATGGCGCTGTAGAGAACTTCCAAGGCGGCGATGAATGGCAACAACAGGCTACCATTGGCATGATGAAGCAGTTTGTCCAGTATCTGCCCGACATGGATCTGGGCTTCAACTTACATGACGAACCGCGAGTTGTCGTGCCCGACAATCTGTTGTCGTCGATGGTGGCAAAGGCGAGGGACGAAATTCTACCGCGCACTGCGAAGAACACTGCACCTCGTAATGCCTTCTCTGCCCGTCCAGAAGACTTGAGTGATGGTACACGGTTTGCTGAAGTTAGCACGACCAAGTTCAATCGCTTTGCGCATCAACAGACATGGACGCATTCGCGGCTGTCATGCTCCCCTGGCACTCAGGCCCAAACCTTCGAAGACTACGCTGCCGATAACTTCACCGCGTATGCCGCCAGCGACCTTGGCTTTATTTACAACACAACCGCCTTCTCTGATATCTGTAACTCGCCTTCGTTCTCGTCAACGTTCGGATTTTTCGAGCGCCCCAACGCCTTCAGTATCATCCATGAGCTGACACCCGTCTTCTCACAGTCGAAGATCTCCAGCTTCCAGGACATCCTATACCCCAGTCCATGGTACTGGATGGGCAAAGTAGGCTACGACGAGACGCACGACACGACCTGGGAAAACAAAACCAACAGTCTCTACTGGCGCGGCTCCACAACAGGAGGTTTCAGTCGCAACGGCGGCTGGCGACGCCAACACCGCCAACACGTCGTCCAACGCCTGAACGCCCCCGACACCGCCAAAGTCCTCGAACCCGTCTCCAACCCCACCTCAACCTACGCCGTAACCTCGATCGAGCGCAAAGCCCTCAAAGACCTCATCGACGTCCACTTCTCCCACATCGGCCAATGCGACCCCGGCGACTGCGACGCCCAAAACGAATTCTTCGACGTAACCGAACGTGTCGACGGCCAAGACGCATGGTACTACAAGCACCTCCTCGACATGGACGGCAACGCCTTCTCCGGCCGCTTCTACAGCTTCCTCAAGTCCCGCAGTCTGACCTACAAAATGGCGCTGTTCCGCGAGTGGCATGCAGAGTGGCTACGACCATGGGTGCATTATATCCCCCTCTCCCTCCGCGGCGACGAGCATCTCGATCTTGTAAGGTGGTTCAGCGGAACACAGATTTTCGACGATGACGGCGATGGCGTTGTGGAAAGAGTCAAGGCGGATGGAAGCAAGAAGGGCGGGAATGGCGCGAGTGAAGGCGAGAAGAAGGCGCGGCTTATTGCGAAGAGGAGTTCTGAGTGGCATGATCGGGTGTTGAGGAATGTGGACTTTGAGGTTTGGTTCTTTAGGTTGCTGTTGGAGTATGGGAGGGTGGTGGATGATCAGAGGGAGGAGATTGGGTTTGCGGGGCCGTAGGTGGGCGTGAGATGAATTGAGGGAGTGTGTGAAGGGTATGAAGGAGGGAATCAGGGTTGGGTAGATGGAGTTGAATACATTGCTGTTCTATTTACATGTTCTGAGGATCGTGCACATGACAGTCGATACGTTTTGTTGATGTGTACGCGCAACTGGTGGACGCTGTGACCGAGTTACGCAAATGCATTTCTGTTAACATCAAACCATGCGGCGTCATTATTTAATTTACCCTAGCTTATCAAATACCAGATATGAAGAAGATCCCGAGGCCAACTTACTGTCAGTTGGGTTTGCGGGAAAAAGGATATAGCTGCTAAAGCGCAGCCCGATACTGTGCGGATATTGTCATCATCAGGAATACCGTAGTCCGCATCCAGAGCGAGACAAGCAAGAGGACAGAACTGGATCCAGTGCGCTAGATAGCGGCGCAGACGCACACTAACTAGTCCGCCGAGCTTGCATGACTACGAAGCGCAGATCTAGATACTGATATCGGGCTGTGAGCCTAAGCAGCCTAGCTCTAGCTGTAGTGAGGCTATGTATGCTTCTGATAAGGATTTGAACCTATACGACAGAATTAGTATGTATATTGCGGATGTAATTAGCATCTTTTTACCTTAGTGCCAGCAGGCTGGTGACTCAGAAAGGCATGCATAAATGCCCATTTGTGAGCAGTAGCCCCTGCGGGCGCAGACGGTACATGTCGCATCGACGACTGGTTTTTCCACATGGAAAGGACCCTACCTCCCGAACGACATTTGCGTCGCGCAGCATCATCATCATCCAGCGGAGTCACAAAACTAAACCCCCGGGCTAGAACTTGGGTCAACATTAAGAATGAGACCCTGTCTCACGCGAGACTATACTAGTATTGTGATTCTCTTTCCAGGTCCACCGGAAAATTCACACGAGACTGTGTGATGTAGTGATTCAGTCAGCTCCACTGACTCTCCCACCGGATGCAAGGAAAAACCTGAACAGGTCAGCAGCCTACATCAACGTAGAAACCTGCAAAGTAGGTGGCCTAACGTCGATGTAGGCTCCAGACCTGTTCGGTTTTTTTCCTTAGTTAACGTGCTCTAGCTTGCATGTTGAATGACCTTTCATTAACGTAAAAAAACTCTAGCAAAGTGCTCGAAGATCGAATGAAAAGCCCGTCTCACATCCTACTCTCCCACCGACGAACTCCTACTCGATAACCGCTTCCAACCCGCCGCTCCATTTGTAAAGTATCCACGTATCCGTCTCCAAGTCTTCTTCCAGAACCAAACAATGCTATCGATGATGGAACGGATCTGCGAACGAGGCAGAGCCTACTTCCTCCCCGTTCGGACACCGTACTCGGAGTAGAAATGGCACGTCGTGTTGTGAACCACGCCAGATGTGTCTTCTTTGAAGACGTTGCAGCCGTATGTTGCTGCGTTGGGTGGGGTGTACACTGTGTTTGGTTAGTTGACTGCTAATCGAATCTCGCAAAGTAGAGAAGATGACGGTCAAGGCTCAGTGAAGTACAAAGTAGAATGCAAAAAAATTGTACTTACAATGTAGTGAAACTGCATAGTCTGTGGGATGCGGATTGGATATACGATGCACACCAAGCGTGTCAGCCATGTATGTGACTTCGTTTTCAGCGAAAGTAGTCTCCTGGGTTTTGGTCATGGGCCGCTGGTTTTGTGCGTCGTCTTCGGTGGGGGTTGCGAAACGGGTTTCTGTTAGGCTGCCTTTGAGGACTTTCATGATGCAGTGCGCGTTTGCGTGGCTGGGTTGATGTCAGTTTTGGATCTTGCAACGCTGAGTTGCGCATTCGAGAGCGTGAGGTGTGTCCACGGTGAGTGTTTGAAGATGGTGGATTATCGAAAGGTCGTCTTACCGGCGTGTCTCCTGCTGACACATCGATCAAAGTAGATCGGCGAACGGAGTCGCTTCATCGTGCAGGAGACTGAAGCCATGGGATATTGTTCGCGAGGTAAGGCATGCTGATGTCAACTGTCGCAAAATATGACAACTTACTCGTGAATCGGGCTCTTCTTTCCAGGACCCCATACTAGGATAAGCTGTTCGATTAGCACCATCTTCGTTGTTTCGAGGATCGGGGACTGTACCAAGTTACTCTTGCCGTTGCCTTTGTCGACAACATTCCGTGTGTATGGTAATGTCTCAGATGGAAAGTAGTATTTCTTCCACTCCGACTCTTCCGAGGTGTATGCCTTCATTAACTCCTGGAGCTCATTCTCGTCTACGTCATCCGAGTCTATGCCGTTGCTGGGACCGAGCACCTTGTTGATCTCCTGCACGAGCGAGTGGAAGTTATCTTCTTCAGTGTTGCGACCGATCATGGTAACGATATCGATGTTTGAGGAATGAGAAATATGGCGAGGGTGTCGTTGGTTATGATGCTGTTGCAGACGGAGTTCCGACGAAGAGAGTTCGGAGCGCGGGCTTTAAATATACACAGCCTTTATCGAGGGTAAGAGCGTTGGCTTGCCTGCCTTCAATGCTGCTTGTGCACGACTGGGCTTGCTTCATTATGTAACAAATCGCGCGTTCTGAGCTTGTGATATGTGGATCCATGGCGGTCAGCAGTTCGCCGACGTGTGATGCACCTCATATGCTCAGCCAGAGTGGTGGGTATGGTCACCGATGTGAAGACCCCGAACGCGGCTTCTATCGGGGAACTTTATGAAGGCCTCGAGGAAGCATGCATGGAAGCCGAGATAGAAGGGTGCTGCGCTGAGCGCTAACCTTATCGGGTGGCGGTGAAAGGTACTGCCGGGAAGCCGTGCCCCGCTTCGTCATTGGCGGCGTGCGTCGCATCAAATTTCTGAACAACCTCATCGCCTCTCCACGCCTGCCCAGAGCAAGTCAGGATACACAGTAATTCAAGATGGCGACCACAGTAGACAAGGTAAGTATTGAGTGCCGCAGCATATCGCCATTCCACGCGCTAACAGGATGTGCAGATCAAGGACATCGAGGCCGAAGTAAGCCACACCCCAATACGCGATCGTAACACGATGACTTACACGAGACATAGATGGCCAAGACCCAGAAGAACAAGGCGACGTCTTTTCATCTTGGTATGGCCTCATGAACGGATACGGCATACTGGTATGCTTATACATGAACAGGGCAACTGAAGGCAAAGCTCGCGAAGCTTAAGAGAGAGCTGCTCGAGCCTTCGTCCGGTGGCGGCGGTGGAGGTGTAGGATTCGATGTTGCTAGGACTGGTGTTGCCAGTGTTGGTTTCATTGGCTTCCCCTCCGTGGGCAAGAGTACGCTCATGAGCAAATTGACCGGACAGCACTCCGAAGCCGCTGCATATGAGTTCACAACGGTAGGCAGACTACAACGGGTGTCATGACCAGTACTGACAGTATACAGCTTACTACAGTACCGGGTCAAGTCATGTACAACGGAGCCAAAATCCAGATTCTCGATCTTCCCGGTATTATCCAAGGTGCGAAGGACGGTAAAGGTCGTGGACGACAGGTCATTGCCGTCGCAAAGACCTGCCATTTAATTTTCATCGTCCTGGACGTCAACAAACCTCTCACCGACAAGAGCGTTATCGAGAACGAACTGGAGGGCTTCGGTATTCGAATCAACAAGAGCCCGCCAAACATTGTGCTCAAGAAGAAGGACAAGGGAGGCATCAACATCACCGCGACGGTCCCCCTCACACATATCGACCATGGCGAAATCAAGGCGGTGCTGAATGAGTACCGAATGGCAAACGCCGACGTAGCTATTCGATGCGACGCCACGGTCGATGATTTGATCGATGTTATTGAGGCCAAAGGACGAAGCTACATCCCCGTCATCTACGCTTTGAACAAGATTGATGCTATCAGTATCGAAGAGCTCGATTTGCTCTACCGCATTCCGAACGCTTGTCCCATCAGTTCCGAGCACGGGTGGAACATCGATGAGCTCCTCGAGCAGATGTGGGAGAAGCTCAATCTCGTTCGTGTTTACACCAAGCCCAAGGGCAAGATGCCGGATTACTCGGCGCCAGTGGTATTGCGATCAACAGCCTGTACCATTGAAGACTTCGTAAGTCTCCCCCTCATCTTAAACGCGACGCGCTAACCGCTCTGTAGTGTAATTCCATCCACAAGACAATTGTCGACAACTTCAAGCACGCTATTGTTTACGGGAAATCATGCAAGCATCAGCCCCAGCGTGTGGGACTTTCTCACGAGCTTGCCGACGAGGATATCGGTATGTATCCCAGTATTATCTCTCTAAATGGATATCGTGAGCTGACGACCCGACCAGTCACTATTGTCAAGCGCTAGATAAGGTCTCGTGATTGCGAGATACGACAGGCGTTATGGATCCGGTCTTGGGAAATAGTGAGTAGAGCAGAAGGGCCTTCTGGATGGCTGAACATGTCTCACTGCGATACCAATACTAGGTCGCAGCATTAAGATGACGAAGAAAGCGAGGCTTGGAGCCGATCTCGCGGCCTGGATTGGCCGAGGGCTCGTTCCAGTAGCACCGCGGACGACATCAGGACGACACTAGCACTGGGCAACGCAGCTTACGGCGCGGATCGTACCTGCCAATCGCCAATGCTCGACTGACTGGTGGCGGTCCGATACCGTCCGCAAGCTATCAATACCAGGCCTTTGCTTCCCCTGCCGAGGAGGCGTCATTCAAGACATTGCCGTCGCGGACCCTCGTGGTAATGGCGCCGCTGGAGTTATTGGAACGGGGTCAGCATGTCGCATTTGTTTTTATTCCATATTTGCTTCGGAATTTGATGGATTCAGATCAGCATTGTCTGGCCCAATTTTTGAGGCGTCGGTTTTCCTTATTGGTCTGCTAACGGGCGCAGCGGTCGACTCGGAGAAATCAGCAGGGGTTAGTTGTGCTGGCGACTCAGAGGGCACGCTGTCAGTCGGGCGCTAAATCATTATCGCTCCCGAAAGCCTGAGTGGCTGGTCGGCAAAACCTCGATTTTCCATGGGCGCGATTATTGCAGCTTTCCGAAAGCG